CCCCCCCCCCCCCCCACCCAAATGGGAACCTGACGCCCACACAGGAATGTTCTTCTGTAAAGTCAGTGTTAATCTGTTTTTTTAAATTGTTATAAATGTGTTTATATTTAACCTTCTCTCCCCTTTCTTAGTCTGTTTTTCATTCTTGTTCTCTGTGATTTTATTTCACATTATCCACACGTTACATTCCTTTGTTATTCAGTAGCGTAGAATGTATATTATAGATCGTCCCCCAGAAAATTGTATACTCTCTTTGGACATGTTGGAAGCTGCATTGCAGTTTCTTGTCTCCATTGTCATTGAACTTCAAACAACATCCTTAAACTTTAAATACCATTTTAAGATTGTTGTGCATTCTTCAAACTAGTCATGTCACAGCCATTTTTTTTTTCGTCCTTCCAGTCATGTATTAATGCTAGTATTTTTTATTTAAGCAAAAAAAATTGTTTCAAAACATTATATATAAATTTTGTAAAATTTTAAAGAAAAAAAATTTAAATACCTTGTCCGCTAGCTTGTGGATTTTTTTTGGGGGTGTGAGTATTTATCTTGTTGATGCATTGCATACTATATTTGTCTGTTTCATTTTTATTATATGTCTTTATCGTTAATGGGCTGTTTGAGAGAGGGTTTCTTGTGTCTGCACACAGAATGTCAGACTATGGAACGCATGGCAAGACCCCAAAGACCATCGCCCAAATGACTGGACCTTTCCTGCTGAGACTATCAAGAGAGTTAGGTAAACACAGAGTACCAACAGTTTTTGTTCTGTTTTGGTCTGAATTTTCTTACTTCTGTCAGTCTGTTAAAAAAAAAAGAATTTTATCTATGCCTTGATGGACATATGTTGGACATATGGTGCTGGCACTGTTTTTTAATTACGCAATTAACATTGACGAATGATGTAGTCAGTATTATACCAGCTGCCATTACTATCTAGAACATTGTCTAGCACATATTGGAACATTGTCTAGCACATATTGGAACATTGTCTAGCACATATTGGAACATTGTCTAGCACATATTGGAACATTGTCTAGCACATATTGGAACATTGTCTAGCACATATTGGAACATTGTCTAGCACATATTGGAACATTGTCTAGCACATATTGGAACATTGTCTAGCACATATTGTTTGGTGGTGTTGACCTTTTAGTCCAGCCTAATTTAGTCTGCCCCACTGGTAATTTATTATATAAATGATTGTACTTTTTATGTCCCCATGAGAGACACATTTTGATTGACTGACATAATCAGTACATTCAGTTCTACTTTCATGTTTAGTGTGTTATAGGCAGTTAGAATTTCCACACAGCCACATTAGCTAAAGAAGAGAGAGGGCCAGTACATCTCTCCCAGCTAATATAAATCAATGCGTGTTAGTTCGATCAATCGATTGGTTTGTGCCCTCCGGGCTACTACCTGAAGGTTACCACCCAGAGATTTAAAAAAGTCTCAATCTGGATGACAAACCAACAGGGCAGATCACTGATAGCCTGTTCAGCCTTCAACAAGGTTATAATTAGGGCACTTGTAATAGCCACACCATCCCTGTGTAACCTGCTGTCCAGCATGGGGTAAAGGCTACACCATCCCTGTGTAACCTGCTGTCCAGCATGGGGTAAAGGCCACACCATCCCTGTGTAACCTGTTGTCCAGCATGGGGTAAAGGCCACACCATCCCTGTGTAACCTGCTGTCCAGCATGGGGTAAAGGCCACACCATCCCTGTGTAACCTGCTGTCCAGCATGGGGTAAAGGCCACACCATCCCTGTGTAACCTGCTGTCCAGCATGGGGTAAAGGCTTCACCATTCCTGTGTAACCTGTTGTCCAGCATGGGGTAAAGGCCACACCATCCCTGTGTAACCTGCTGTCCAGCATGGGGTGAAGGCTACACCATCCCTGTGTAATCTGCTGTCCAGCATGGGGTAAAGGCCACACCATCCCTGTGTAACCTGCTGTCCAGCATGGGGCAAAGGCTACACCATCCCTGTGTAATCTGCTGTCCAGCATGGGGTGAAGGCTACACCATCCCTGTGTAACCTGCTGTCCAGCATGGATCAAAGGCTACACCATCCCTGTGTAACCTGCTGTCCAGCATGGGGTAAAGATGTATGTGCCCTGGGCTTACCTTTCATAACTTTGCTTGTGTAGCTTTTAGAATTTAGTTCCAGGTCAGTTCTATATCAGATTCTATTAACATGATTATACACTTTATATATACACACTGTACTGAGATATGTCATGTGGATGAGTTGTATGTTGATCTAAGAGTACCATATTTGTCTGTGTCTAAGATGCTGCCATGTATAAATAAGATAACCCCTATTTGTTTTTTTAGTCCAAAAGATCTAAACATAGCAACAGAATACAAAGACATTAAACAGGCATCTGAGTTTAAATATCTGGGAACTACATTTACCGAAGATGGGAAATTGGATAAAGAAATTGACATTAGATGCAGTAAAGCAAACCAAGTATTGGGACAGCTAGCCCCCCTCTTACAGCATAAGACAATCCCAATCAGCACAAAGAGACATCTTATTCAAAGCATATTTATTCCAACTCTGTGCTACCAGTGCCAGACATGGTCACTCACAACAAACGATAAAAGAAAATTAGTAACCACGGAAATGAGATGTCTGAGAAGGGCTGTAGGAGTGACCATAAGAGATAAGATCAGGAATGAGATCTTAAGAGAAAAAGTCGGCACAGAACCAATTCTGGATTACATACAAAGACATCAAGTGAAATGGTTTGCCCACTTAGAGAGAATGCCTTGTGACACCATACCATACAAAGCATACATGGAAAGAGAAGAAGGACGTAGAGCACGGGGTAGACCAAGAACAAGATGGAAGGATAACATCAGAGAAACTCTACAACAGCACGATGTGCCTATGGTCCAGGCAGCCAGAAGAGCTAGAAACAGAACCTTATATCTCCCTCGACACCCACAGCGGTAAAAGAGGAAGTGAAGAAGAAGAAGAAGTCCAAAATGACAAAATAAATATTTTCAATGCTTTCCGTGGATACAAAGACCCCGGGTAAAAGCAAAACAAAATTAGGGAACACATATGGTCTGATACACAGAAAAATACAGTTTTAAAAATTAAGGATGCATGTGAAGTTAGAGGCTTGAACAATAAATCAACATCACAGCACACGGTTAGTAACCTATTAGTGCCCCGTTCTTCTTTTAACTCAAGTCTGGGTCTGAAGAAGCTCAGCACAGTGCACAGGCTCTGTAGCACCTGCGAAGATCCTGAAATACTTTTTTGTAGATTTTTTACTCCAGATTTTGCCCTAGCAGCACCATTGGGCTACTTTTTAAAATTGTCAACTGCCAAGGGATTTTTCACGTGCGGAAAAATGCTTATAGGCGTCCGATCTCACTACCCAGAGACCAGGGGGAATTACTAGAAATCCAAGTCCCCATGAACAAATCCTTACCAGGGGTTGAATACAGAACCTCTAGCACTGGAGGAGGACACTATGCCTCGAGACCACGCAGCCCCTAAATTGGGATGCAAATGCCTTGAATTAATTAGTTTCAATGATTATTTTTCAACAGCTTGTATAAGAGGGATGCCAGGGCCATTTTTCTGTATGTACAGGACATCTCTGATGACGATTATCATATTTTCTTTTCTTCAGAGGTGCAGGCTCAGAGGTGAGTGATCTGTTGAATAGTTGTAGATTGATTATAAGTTTCTCTCTCATCATTGTTATAAAGAATCCACAAATTGATGTATAAGAACTTTCCCTACATAAGCTGGTAACAGTTTATTTGAGGAAAGATGGTAACAGTTTATTTATGAAAAACTGGTAACAGTTTATTTGAGGAAAGCTGGTAACAGTTTATTTATGGAAAGCTGGTAACAGTTTATTTGAGGAAAGCTGGTAACAGTTTATTTGAGGAAAGCTGGTAGTTTATTTGGGGAAAACTGAGTGCCGTCACTAAATCTAGAGAATGACTAAAATTGTTAATAAACTGCATCATCATTATGATGTGCCATTACACATCACACAGAGCTCACGGTTTATTCTTGCAATTTGTTATATCCTTACAATTGTTTCAGTATCATGGATGGAATCTAGTCTAGCACCTTTGGCCTCTCTCAAGCATGTTTGTCCTAAGGTTGCTTTTTTTATTGGGGGGATGGGGGAGTCTAAATTCTTCGGTCCATTTATTTCCCATTTAAGTGCCTATTGTTGATTCTCTATGCCAAATATACTATCATATTCTGTTTCCCTGTAACTGATGGTAATAAAATGCAAACATTTATTAACTTTTGCATTCACATAGTAGTGGGACCAAAATGGTATGAGAAAATCACTATTGTAGATCTTATGGAGAAAGAAAGTTCAGGGAATCAAAAATTTATTTAAAACATTAATGTTTCAGCCTAGTACACAGATTTATCAAACCTGTAAATAGCATAATTAGATTGTGTGTGGAACACACAGGCCAAAATAAATATAGGTAGCAGTACATGGAAAGAATAATCAGGGGCTGATAAATATTATGATATGGATATACAGGCAACACGAGAAGATGATAACAGATAGCCAGCCTGCTTGAAAACCACTGCTTCCTTTAGGGATACAGGTCAGAAGTGCAGCCGCAGGATATGACTTCAACGGAAGTTCACAACTGTGAATATACTTCAACCATGTTGCCCTGGTGACTTAGAAAATAAAATAAAGCTAGTGACCTTATTTAGTAAATCCCCCCCCCCCCCCCCCCCCCCCCACCCCCAAAGAAAAAATTCTTAAAAAACAATTTTACACAGGTTACACAAAATAAAAATAAAAGGCTATCCTCCGAATAATGGGCGGTAAAGATGGTAGCTGCAAAATATCCTTTCGAGCCGCAGTCACGTGACTTAATTTGCGGTAAATTTGCTGAAATATTTGGGTACATTTTTAACAGCAGATGGAAAATGCAGTACAGAGCTGAATTGTGATTGTTACTGATTTTTGATTGTCACAGATTTTATTCGATGATGGGAGAACTTGCAATCAGCCCAGAATGTCTGATAGAAGATGATTTTGAAGATGCTGTTGATGTAAGTGACTTCGCTGAAGTTTTGTGTTTAGATGTTAGTGCTTGTTTATTTTAGGCCTTGATTGATAGTAGTTTTTTTATTTGTGAGAGTAGTCACATTGATTGTATTATTAGTTTTGGAATTATTATCTTGTCTTATCTCAGACATGGGTTGTAGTGGTGTCATGATAGAAGAATCAGTAATCGTTCTTGTCCCCAACAATACTTGCTCATTTGGAAACAATACATTTGGTTCCTTAAATTTTTTTTGCCTTCCTTTACTTTGTTTTACTTGAATTACTTTTTTTTTTTTAAAATTGACACTCTTGATTAAGGCGTTTATACTCTCGATAGCGCTATCCTACGGCAGGGCCCGAGTTATATGTAAGTTGCCGATCGCTTTTCGCTGACTATAGTGCCACCTCCGAGAGTATCCCCCGCGCATCTACGCGCGGCGCAGAGGGGGCTAAACTAGATGGCTGGGACTCACGAGCAGCAGCTACCCCAGCTCCTGCAGCTTCCACCAATGTATTTGCTCGTGAGTCCTAGCCATCTAGTTTAGCTCCTTCCGCGCCGCACGTAGCGGCGCGGGGGATACTCTCGGAGGTGGCACTATAGTCGGCGAATTTCAATATCGGTAAGTACTATAATTCCCTTATTTTCCTCATACTTTCCGTTCCTTATATTTCCCGAGTTACAGCTTTTAAATGTTTGTAGGGCAGGAGGTAATGAGGCTCTGTTTGGGATTAACTTTCTGCGTAGTTCATTTAGAACCATTATTCCAAGTAGAGCCAACTTGGAAATCACAGCATCATACCACAATAAATTATATATAATGTTGAAATATTCTATAGTAGTTTTATTTTCTGCATGTAGGTTTAATGATGATTATTTTTCTAGATAATTTCTGCTTATTTTAAGTTTTTTATATTCTTCTTGTTTATCTCATCTACCATTTATCGTTTCAGTGAAGAAGGTATACATTTTTTAAAAACTTGTTTTCATTGATTTCTACATTTAAAAAAAAAGAGACACACCTGCTTGAAATATTTTGTAGTGGGCAGCTTTTCTTATGCCTAAAAATACTATTAGGATATTGGCTGTTCTTATGGTAGGAGCCGGTCCTGCTGTCAGATGCATCTACAAGGTGATGGATGGTGGATTGGCCTCTAGATATAGAAGTTAGCCATGTATATTTTAAAAAAGTGCTGTGGATTAACAGGGTAGTTTGGAGGAAGATGAGTTAGTTGGTGGGGCTGCTGTTTCTAAATAACACCTCAAAACTCTGTGAATTAGCCATCAGCGGGGAGGAGGAACCACATGTATCCTCTATCCCTTGCTTTCTTGCAGGATTAATCTCTTTAGACAAAAGCTGGCAAAGATAAGCCGGATGGCTTCAAGAGTGTAGTTCTGATACTAGACTTTTGATTGTATCAGATGTTAAACTATGGTTGCTCACACTTGTGAGTGTGACACATGATAATGATTTGTGGCAAGTTACAGCTGATAAGGAAAGATAAACAAAACACACACCACCACAAAAAGTTATTTTCTCATGATTTCAGGTAGTAAAACTGTTGCCTACATTTTTGTGTTGGAAATTGCTGAACAGATGGAGTTCTAGATTCTAACTGTGCAAAAAACAAAAACAAAAATTGGGAAATTGAAGACTTTTATTTTTTATTTTTGTTTTAAAATCTTGAATGTATATTTTTTTAAAATTTTAAGTGGATTCTGTGTTTGCTAAATTTTATTTCAGGTTGTAGAGAAAGTTAATTTCTATATGACATTGTGTTTGTAGTAGGCATATTTGAAAGAAAAGATGTGTGTCTGTGTTAGCTGGATTTTATTTCAGGTCTTAGAGAAAGTAGATTTTTATGTCATAGTGTGTTTCTGATACACTGAATTTTTTTGAAATAGTGACTGTTTTGGCTGAATAATAGGTCTTAGAGAAAATAGATTTTCACGTCACACTGTCTGTGTATTGTGATAGGACATCTAATAAACACATTAGGGTCTGTGTTAGTTGAATTTAATTTCAGATCTCATAAAAAGTAGATTTCCATGCCAGATTGTGTTCACGATAGCATACTTTTTATTTTTATTTATTTGCTTTGTATCTGTGTTAGCTTAATATTCTTACAGTATGTCTATGACTTGGATGATAAAGGCTGCCGTATTTTGCTCGGTCGAGGCACATTCGGTGCAGTGTATGCAGCTCGAGATAACAAAACACAAGTCAAAGTGGCAGTCAAGGAGGTGCCAGAAAAGTTCCAACAGTAAGTAGATCTCTTGCTCATGCCAGGAAAAACAGCCAGACCAGTAGATCTGATTAGCACTGATATTTCTAGGAAAATAGTTGTAAAATAAAGTGTTGTTTAGGATCTGTTTAACTGATCTATCAGTGCCTCCGTTCAAAGAATCAATGTTGTTAAATTTTCCTTTATTCAACCTCCTCCCCCCTCCCTCCCACCCGATATACACTTTTTTGGAAAAGGTCGGGTGGGAGGGAGGGGGGAGGAGGCAGAAAAAAAGGAAAATTTTACACCATTGATTCTTTGAACGGAGGCACTGATAGATCATTACAGTCTGAGGTGAATGTCACTGCAGGGGTCTAGCCGACACTCAGCACTCAAGGGAAAGGTTAGATGGATATACAGTCAGGCATTTACTGGTACCATCAAAATTGGAACTCTTTACTTGCTGCTGAAGATGGGGACGGAGCGCTTTTGGGGGTGTCCCGAGTGCTGTAGTGTTGATTCTTTATTTAACTCTCAACATTACGGATACATTTGACTTATGGTTCTACACCCATGTTTTCATATACCAGTGGATACTCTGTGGATGAAGTGGTCAGCATTTCACTTTCATTTTGGTTCTTCTATACTGATTGTTTTGTTTGGAAAGAAAAATGAAACTGATTTTTTATGTATGTGTGTAAGGATTAAAGTTACCCTTTCTCTCTATAGTTGAATGTGAAGTCTGCATGTATTTTGGGTTGCAGTTAGAAGAGCTGTGGATTCCTTTTAGGAGGTGTAGAATGGAATAGTGAATGAGATAGATAAGAAAAGTAGGCTTGCATGCCTGATTCATTCTTTTGAAAATATATTTTTATTTCCTTGATTTTAAATAGTGACTGTTTTGGCTGAATATCAGGTCTTAGAGAAAAAAGATTGTGATAGGCTTAGAAAATGTCTCTGTTTCATCTGTTTTAAAAAAAAATCAAGTCTCATAAATTTCATTTGCCTTTTCCTTATCCTTATGGTTTGGAAGAGTTCAGATAATCAGGTAATCACAGTTCAACCTTTATAACAAAGAAGTCGCCCCCCCCCCCCCCCCCCCCCCCCCCATCCACCCCCCTCCATCCAGTTTCTCTCTTCCTGCGCCAGCGAAAACCACACAGAATGGCCAGCACTGTCCCTTGGAAACAGCTGACACAGACGGCAGTCTCAACAAAGTCAGCATACACATGCTTTACATTTATAAGAAGTGCCAATCATCTTGACACTAGAAATGCAGTTCATTATCGGTAGAAGCAGCTGTTAAGGTACCACCAGTTCTCTGGCAATAGGCTGCTGGCCATTTTCTGAATCTGCAGTTCACCACACAGACCACGTTGGACACAATTGAAAAGCATTCCAAATGAAACCTGAAGCTCACAGTGTCATGCTACGCACCTAGCTCATTAGCTGGCTGGTGGAGCTATATCCTTTCAGTCTTTGTAAGGAGGAAAATACATTGGCTAAAAATTGTCAGAAGCAAAACTTTGTCAGGATTAAAAGTAGCAATCTGCCTATCTGCCATATTGACCAGAGGTCCTGTTGATGAGCGATTTAGTAAAGCCTGCAGAAATGTTCTCAAATGTCACATCTCCATGGGGATGCAGAGAGACATCACCACCTGTGGCGAGCACCAGGACCAGGGTTTATACAGGCTGACCTGTCTGCACCTCTGTGTGCTCATCTGTGATATTCATTTTATACATAAGGTTATTCGAACATGGGGGGTGCGTGGTCTCAAGGCATGGTACCAGCCTTGCGTGCTAGAGGTCCTGAGTTTAAGCCCTGGTGAAGGCTGGGATTTTGTTCATGTGGACTTCTAGCATTTTCACTTGGTCTCTGGGTAGTAAGACCGGACGCCTGTGTGTATTGTTGCGCACGTAAAAAATCCCTTGGCAGTTGAGATCGAAAAAAGTAGCCTAATTTCAGGATCCTTGCCGGTGCAACAGAGTTCGTGCACTGCGCTGAGAATCTTCAGACTCAGGCTTGAGTTAGAAGAAGAATGGAGCACTTATGGGTTACACCCGTGTTTCATGATGTTGATGAGTTGAATTAACATAAACATTCGAACATAACATGCTTGATTCACTAAATACCTTTTCTGTGTGGAAGATGATTGTTTGAAAGGTTTGGGGTCGGCATGCCTAATTTTTGACCCTTTAAAATGAAGTTTGTTAATTTATTCGTCGATTTGTTCCATAAATAGGATTGACATTTACTTTAAAGTCATAACATAATTGCCTGCCATATCTCAAAAATGGGTGTGCATACAACACTCAGTTGTAACAGGACCAAAGTCCAGTAACAGACAACATACCAGAGCATTTTACTGGAGTTCACAGCTGGTGAACAAAGAAGAAGATAACAAGAAGAGTATCTTCTCTGCCTCTAGTTCAGTTCCTTTATCATTTCATTACTCATTGTCTGGCATTCACATCCACACAGAAGAACAGACCTATACAATATCTATACATTGCTGTGGTGTACACTACACAGTCATTGTCATGTCAAATGGGATATGTTTGATTGTCTAAGGTTACTCTGGTTAGTTCATCTCAGTATTTATTTCATTTTAAAACATTAGTGGATGTCATTGACTCGATGACTGGGTAACAAACACCATATCAGTAGCCGTGTCTGCATCACCAGGTGGCATTGCCATTATAGTTAGGCTACTATCATTTACGTAGACTACGTTTGCATCTACCATAGCCTCTGCTGAAGCATTTCCTTGTCTGTTTTTCCCAGTACTGTCATTTATTCTGTTCCACACATTGAAATCTGCACAGATTAGAAGCCTATTACCAGGGATTTGCTCCAACTCTTTGAGCTAGTCCCAGTGTTCCTTTGTGACAAGAGAGTCAACAGCAGCGTAAATATTTACTAAATTTCAGTTTGTGCCCTCATAGTTTATCTGTGTACCTCTATTGTACTGTGATTCAGCTGGCCTAAATCTAGCACCACATGCTTCACACAATTCTTCCCCAGCAAACATTGCTCATTATCTCTTCAGTCCAGTATGGTTTATGTAACTGATGTATCCCAGGCACTCCCATCTGTCTATATTGAATTCTTGAAGCTTGATGATATCAAAGTCATAAATCAGCCACCCCGGTACATCCCCTGTCTGTTTAGCACTACGACAATTCTAATAAGCCAGTCTAATATGATTTAATCTCAGATACTCCGTTTTGTGTGTGTGACTCTCCGGGCTCTTGCTTTCCAATTCTGTGCCTCTATTTCATCTTCTTCTCATCTTCCCACTCTCTTTGTTGATTGCCGAAGATTGTCCAGATTCTCTGCCGAAGATTGTCCAGATTCTCTGCTGAAGATTGTCCAGATTCTCTGCTGAAGATTGTCCAGATTCTCTGCCAAAGATTGTTCAGATTCTCTGCTGAAGATCGTCCAGATTCTCTGAAGATTGCTTTAACCGTTTGTTAAGGTATCTTAGAGAGTGATTTCTTCCTTGGCTTTGTGCATGTTCCAAATTTATACATGCTAATTTTTTGCTAAGTTTGTAAATATTTATAATTTCTTAGTTTTATGATATCTTACTTTTCAGCCTGTAATGGTGAAACATGAGTTGCAATGATAGCTGTGTGTGTATCAAAACTTGAGCATATGGCAACACTGGTTTGTTTGGTGAATAAAAAAGGAGAAATACAGAAGGAGGGGACTTTTGACAACTTGCATAGTCATGCTGATTATTATCAGCACATTAGTTTATATATTCTGCTGGTATTTGCAACTGTGGAGAAGCATTTTTATACCTGGATACATACACACATGCTCTGTACACATACATACCTATGTGTCAGACAACATGTGCACCGGCTTCAGAACTAGACATGCTCTGTACACACACATACCTGTGTATCAGACAACATGTGCACCGGCTTCAAAACTAGTATACTGCAGGTGTTTGAGCTGTGGAGCATTTTGTTACCAGCACTGCTGATAACACCGGCAGTTGCAAACATCACATGACATTTATTTAGTGAATGCACATTCATGGAAAGAAACAGATGGAGAGAGGAGGTGGGAGAGGAAAAGACTTTTCAGACGTACTTAGATAATAGTAAAAAAAGAGTGCACAGCTTGACATACATGTACGGCATGTGTATGAGAGTAAAAGAAGAACATGCATATGATTAATGTGCTACGGGAATAGTAAGTATCTACACCTTAAGACATTTGCTGCAGGAGATGGAGCATCTATGGGTATGCCTGGTATGTTGTAATTTTGAATTTTACATCAGTAATCAGTTACCATACATGTGTTCCGAACACAGGATCTTCAGACTAATTTTAGGGAATGCCCCAGATTGTTATCTTTAAGAAATATTATATTTGTAACAATAATGTAACATGTTTACCATTTCTCTTTCCAGAGAGGTGCAACCACTTCATGAAGAAATAAAACTCCACATGCGGCTAAACCATAAGAATATTGTCAGATACCTTGGCTCAGTCAGTGAGGATGGGTTCTTTAAAATTTTCATGGAGCAGGTTCCAGGAGGTATGTTGGATATCATGACTTAGTCTTTTTCTTTTGACTTCATCCTTCAAAGGGCAGTTGGCACCTTGTGTTGTGGTTTACAGCTAGGCTGTGATATCTACACCTTTTGGCCCAACACATCCTCTGATTTCAGCAAAACCCTAAATAATAATTTTTTTTCAGCATGCTTCTTAGCAGGGCAGTGAGTATATTCTTTTTCCCACCTGAAAATAGAGAGAATTGATTATTTTCTAATTTATAAACAAACTGCTTGAGTTATGCTAGATATGACGAGAACTGCTGAAAGTCGGAAACAGTGAAAGAATTTGCTCAGATGATTTCAGCTCATCTCCAGACTTGACAGACCTGAAAGTCATGTAGTAGTAGATTTGTGTGCTGACAGTGAACAGTATAGTTTTTTTATCTTGTTCATATTCTGAATTGGCTTTTTTTGGCTTAGGAATTACAAACCCAGTTTATAATTCTGAAATACCCAGTTGATTCAGTAGTAGGTGATTTGGCAGCCGATCACTTTATGTTGATTTCAAGGATGGTATGAAACTGACTGTTTAAAAAAAAAAAAGTAAAATTTCCTAGTAGATTACAAACAGTTACCCCTTGCCAGGATCGATCCTGTAAAGGATTGCGACTAACATATTCTGAAAAGTGAAATGTGCTCTCTTTTTCAAAACTAAACATAAACAGCTAAATGACTACTGAGTTTTAGATAATAACAGGACACATGAAGACAGAAAAACCTACTTATGCACGTAGTTGGAAGATACTTCATTCTTGGCTGTAGGGACTAGACATAAAGGAGTTGAGCACTGCTAACTAATAATCTGGTAATAGAGTAATTACAGTTTTAGCTTTATAGCAAACAAGTCATCTCAATGTTTCTCTGTTTCTGGGCCAATAAAAAAACCCACAGAATGTACATCATTGTCCCATGCAAAAACAAAACACACCAAAAAAAAATGGACACGGCTGCAGTCTTAGCAAAGCCAGTAGCATTGACATGCATTTGTTGCAATTCATCATCAGTAGAAGCAGCAGTTACAACAGATCATTAGTTGAACGCACTATTAATTGCATAAGGCACCACCACTTCCAAAAGGCAATTCGTCTTAAACAAAAACAAAAAAAATGCAGTTCACAACAGAAACCTCATTGGGCAAAGTTAAAAACCTTCCAGATTAAATCTACAGCTCACAGTGTCGCACTGTGCATTAAACTCAGTTAGTGGGTAGCAGAACTATGTCCTTTAAGTCTATATATGGAGGAAAATACCACAGCTGACTATTTTCAGTAGCAAAACTCACCATAATAACTAGAAAAGACTGCAGAGGGAAGGTTAGAAAAGAAAATCAAATCATTCCTTGCCAATATTATGAAAATACAAATAATTAGTGTGTGTTTTTGCTAGTATATGAGAGAGAGAAAGAGAGAGACAGAGAGAGAGGGAGAAGATATAGGAATTCCCTTTGAAACAGCAGATATTTGGTAAGTTCTTTTTTGACATAATATACTAGAATTTTCTATACTTTTACACGCTAAAGAATCAGGCATTAAGAACTTTGGTTTTGGAAATATGAGATTAGGATAGGTTTTAGAAATATGAGATCATTATAGTTTTTTGGAAATTTGAGATCTTTTAGCTTTTAGAAAAAAATGAGATCATTATAGGGTTTGGAAATACACACACACACGCACGCACGCACGCACGCACGCACGCACGCACACACACACACACAAAATAATGAGGTCTAATTTTCAGCAATTAAACACATTGATGAGTAGCTCCTGGGTGAATGGTTAAAACACTTGAGCTCTTACGCGCAAGATCCGGATTTGTTTCTCAATAAAAGAAGATTTGTTTCTGTCTGGTGCCGAAAGAAAAATTCTAACCTGTAGATTTCATGGCGACCACACTAGCCATGAGGCCCTAAATCTTCAGGCTCATGACCACCCAGTCATAAAGCACAGAGTGCTAGACACAGGCAGTTTGTTTGTTTGTTTTAGTATCCAGAAGCCATGAGTTGTGAACCCTTAGGCTCGGTATTATGGATATCGCAACCTTTCGGCCTTGATTCCATTGTAAATACCGTAAATCTAGGAGAAATGTGGCTTTTCTGCCTACCCCTGGGATTGAACCTGGACCACAAGGAGTTCGTCACCCTTTCTCCGCGCAATTCGGTTTAGCCAACTACGCTAGAGAGCTGGGCAGATACAGGTGGTAAAGACAGTATTTAAAAAAAGTCTTCCATTTCCTCCGTTAAGCTTTCTGGTCACATTTTATGTTATTTAACTTGTATTGGTCATTCAGCCAACTTTGACATTTTATCACGATTACATTATAGTTGACCTTTATTTTCAGGAAGCCTTTCCCAGTTGCTAAGATCCAAGTGGGGTCCTTTGAAAGATAACGAAGCTACAATAGCTTTCTACACAAAACAGATTCTTGAAGGACTCAAATATTTGGTAAACACATTTTCATTAATCTGGAAATACTTCTTGGTACACAAGTATTTGTCAGATCTAATAGTGGCCATTTGCTGGCAATTGTTCTGTATTATTGTCAGGGATTTGCCATAAACAGCATTAAAAGTCTGTGCTTGAGCACTAGTCCTTGAGAAAGAGAATAAGGGCTTTTGAGCTGAAATGCTATAGAAAGATTCTCAGAATATCTTGGACAAAGAGGAGGAGAAATACTGACATCTTGAAAGATCTGAACATCCGCAGTCTATTTATTTGCCATTCAATATTCATGAACTTCCACAGTCTATTTACTTGCCATTCAATATTCATGAACCTCAGCAGTCTGTTTATTGGCCATTCAATATTCATGAACTTCCGCAGTCTGTTTATATGCCATTCAATATTCATGAACTTCCGCAGTCTGTTTACATGCCATTCAATATTCATGAACTTCCGCAGTCTGTTTATTTGCCATTCAATATTCATGAACTTCCGCAGTCTATTTTTTTTGCTATTGAATATTCATGAATTTCCTTCTTCATTAGTTTTCGTTTGCCTTTAATTTTCAATCCATGGCTTTTGTGGTTCTTCAGCCTTCACCCACAAATTTTATTGAAACTTTAGAACTAAAAATATGTAGCCTAATTTAAAAGCTTTAATTTGGAGTTTCATATTTGTTGAGATTATATGAGTCGTCCCCATGTGGGATGCAATGTTTTGTTATTTTGAAGCCCCACCTCGGCTTGTGCCGGGGGCCCTAAATATAGCCGGACTATAAATATGACCTAATGGCTGAACAGGGTTTCTGGGAACCTCTCTCCACAGGTGATTCTCATCCGCATGGTGGCATTTTCTGTCACCGGGTGTTTGTGGCTTGTGTTATGTCCTGGTGGGGTACAACTACCTACCTATTTGTTGAGACTTTGAAGCCATTGCTGCCTTGGGAGTGCATATGTTTTTTTTAATGTAAAGATGGCTACTGATGTAGAGAAACTGACGAGTCACTTGTATGTCTGCATCTATAGCTCATGTGCATTTTTGTGAAGCAGAAACAAGGGTCATAATCAATTATTTTTGGCTACAATTGTTTTTTGATGAACCTTTCTAGCATGATAACAGAATAGTGCACCGGGATATCAAAGGAGACAATGTGCTGGTCAACACTTACAGCGGGGTACTGAAAATCTCGGACTTTGGCACCTCCAAGAGGTTGTCAGGCATTAATCCTTGTACTGATACATTCGCAGGTAATGTATACATTCTTACTGTAGCATTACTTTCTCTTGTAACTATACTGTTTAAAAAAACAAAAAATTGTTTAATTAAAAAAAGAACACCCATAGTTTTCTGATAGCACATTTGTATTAGTTGATAGTGAAACCTCAATTCCTAAAAACAATTGATGACATATGCAGAGTAACTGTCAATTTTTGGTTGAATCCTGAAGTTTTGTATTCAGTTTAAACAGTCTTTAAATTACAAACAATGTAATGTCAGATTATGTTCCATTCACTTGTGGGCAGTAGTATAGTTGTTGCATTTAGTCGCTGTCTGTCAATAAAAAAAATCATTCACTATAGTAATCATGTAGCTTTAGTAGAGAAGTGGTTAGCCATTGGTTAGAATGGTAGGCTGTCATGTGGGAGATTTGGGTTCGAATCCTGGTGAGGTGATTAAAGATTTTTCCATTGTAGGCAAAATTAAACTTCCTAGCCTGCACAAGTCATGGTGACCACCCTAGCCGTGCGGCCCTGAATCCTCACCTGCAGTTTTACTTTCAAACATTTGTAGTACAGTTAAATCATACTTAAATGTGCATTATTTAATTCCAGTATTCCGGTACACTTAAGCGGGAGACCCAGGTTCGAATCCTCGGTAAGGCTGCAGATTTTTTCAAATTAAATTCTCACGTGCACAGTCGTGGTGACAACACTAGCCTTGCGGCCGTAAATCGGCAGGCTCAAAGACCCCCTGCCTACACCACAAAAGTTGTATAATAAAGGCAATATTTGGCAGTTTATTTTTGGTAAATCAGTCTTTTCTTTGTTTTTCCTCAAAGTTATTCTTCTTTCTTTGTGTCAATATCTGCTTATGCCTCTGGGCGTTGCAGTTCATCAGACGATCGACAGCTGAGCCAGGGCACGCTCAGTCGCGTGATATGCTATGATATTATGCAGTCTTAAGGTGTCAGTGTGTCTGGATGTTATTACTTTCGGATAATTGTCCTCAGGCACTATACAGTATATGGCCCCCGAGGTGATTGACAAGGGCACCAGAGGTTACGGGCCACCTGTAAGTTGTAGTCATGTTCTTGTATATGTTTTTTTTTAACCTGAATGAAACATTGATATGTAAGACAAAGGATTGAGGTTTTTGAGAGATTAAGGTGGTGACACCAGGAGATCTGATTCATTCACGTATATATTGACAGTTTCAGTCAGGTTTTCTGTTAGTCCTTCATTTGAGGTATAAAAGAGGCAGACAGAATCACTACTGCTATATTTCCCTTGTATCTAATACCTAGAATTTTTCATGGCACCTGATCTTGAGAAAATCTTAAATGACTAGACAATTTAATGTACAGTTTAATGAAAAAAAAAGTATTTTTTTTAAAGTACAGTCAGATACATTTTTTTGCTTCTTCATTTATGAACTTCTCTCTTCTTATTACACACATAGAATTTAGCATATACATTTCCTGTCAGTTGTTTCAATTGTTTCTTTCTCCTGTCCTGTTATTTTCCAAGTCTGACAATGCAAGAATAATTTTAGTAGGAAAACTCTTAACCAGTGGACTTTCGTTCCTCCGCGCGTGTGTGGGTGGGTGTGTGTGTGTGTTATTTGTTACATGTTGTTTGATCTAAAGTATAGGGTGTCCCATAAATTTCATACGTAAGGAGGAAATAAACATATCAGCTCTGCCATTACAAGCGTAACCCCAACTGTGCTTATATGTGTTGTTCAGAATTACGAGTCAGACTCGCAACGCTTAAGCCACAGACGCCGCTCTATCTCTAAATGGACAAACGAAAAGTAAAGAACTTTTTTTTTATGCCAGTGGGCATGATGCTTGACTAATTTTTATAGACAAATGATCAGTGAGTGATCAGGTCAGCAGCGTTCTGGTCACCTTTGCTTCCCACAACATTTTCCAGTACACATTGTAGGCTGGATCAACCTGGAAACCAAGATAACTTACCCCCCCCCCCCCCCCCCCCAGTCTGCCAAGACACTCAGAGCATACCTCTGTGTGTAAAAGATTGTTACTCCAACTCCTCAACCACAGTTCGTGAGGACATTTCTCGACAATGTAATAAGGCAAACCTGAGAGTTGTGTTCAGTTGAGTTAAGAATTGACATCACAGCACTCGGGGCATTTCCATGCGTGCTCCGTCCTCATCTTCAGCAGCCAGCGCAGTTCCAATACTGATGGTACCGGTCACTATCTGATTATATGCCCGGCTCTCTAGCGAAGTTGGTTAAACCTGACTTTCGCGGCGGCCGGGTGACGAACTCCTTGTGGTCCGGGTTCACTCCCGGGGGTAGGCAGAAAAGCCACATTTCTCCCAGATTAACGGTACCTATAATGGAATCAATGCCGAAGGGTTGCGATATCCATAGTACCGAGCCAAAGGGTTTACAACTCATGGTTTCTGGATACGTTAAAAAAAAAAAAATCTGATTATATGTCCGTCTTGCAGGCAAGCCTGAGAAGAAAGAGACAGAAGAAAATGAGGACAGTGGAAGAGGTTACCAATTTATTTATGTTTAATAAATACCAGAAGCAATGTAGAACCTTTTTACAACAGTTTTTATTGTACACAGATGTCATTGACACTAATATATATATTATTCTTCCTTACCTGCTTCTTCTCTCACTCCAGGTAGCTCAGCTACGTGTGTTTAAGGTATCAGAATCTTTTATCTGCTCTTTCTAAAAGTGCTGTGTAAATTGGTCTTCTTTTCTTCATAGTTCAATGTTTTCCATTGTCTTTCCTGTCTTTTCCTCTAGGCTCATTATATTTCTTTAAAGTAGCTTTCTGTGGTTGTTGACACCAGATCATTCTTGTGAGGCGGCCAGACTATCTCATCTCTCGCTCTTTAAGGAACTGTGTAGACTGGTTTCAATTCTAGTCATCACTTTTCTTCTTTTTTACATGTTTTATGTGTGCATCTGTAAAATTACATTTATTCATGATGCACTGATTTCCTAGTATATCTTGCCTTGACAAGTGATATTGTGTACATTATGCAGGCAGACATTTGGTCCCTTGGTTGTACTGTGATTGAGATGATTACTGGGAAACCTCCTTTCATTGAGGTGAGTTGAAGAAAGTAGTATGTATTCTGCTTTATATGTTTGAAGTATCCTCATCATTTGGTCGCTCATCATGAGCTTCTGAGGACCCAATCAGAGGATGGAGGATCGTAGAGTCCCTTAAGATGTCCTCTTTTAATTACAAATGGATAGAAGATGTTGGGGTTTACCTTGACTACAATTTAAAGGCGTAAGAAAACAGGACATGAATGATGCTGGTACCGAGGTGGATTCATGGAAACAGGATGCCATGGATGGTATAGCATGGAGGGAGAGACTAGGAAGGGAGTCGAAAAAAAAGGATAAAATGATGCAGACAGGTAAAGATCTGATCGTCTGAACAAAAACATGTTAAAGACATGTGATGACAACAATGGTCCTGAAATCTCATGTATTTTTTTTTTGAAAGATTTTTCTCAACACGAGCCGGTCTTGCTAGTCACACTTGCTATCACCAAGGGGTGTGATTCTCATTCCTTTCTATAGCACAAGCAAATAAGTTGTTTGGAAAGGAGGAAATTGCTATCCAATATCATTGTTAAATAGCAAGTTCCTAGCAGTAAGTCACCAGAAGTGAACAGTAAACTAACACAGAACTAATGTCCTCTGCAGTAAGTCGCCAGAAGTGAACAGTAAACTAACACATAACTAATGTCTTCTGCAGTAAGTCACCAGGAGTGAACAGTAAACTAACACAAAACTAATGTCCTCTGCAGTAAGTCACCAGAAGTGAACAGTAAACTAACACAGAACTAATGTCCTCTGCAGTAAGTCACCAGAAGTGAACAGTAAACTAACACAGAACTAATGTCCTCTGCAGTAAGTCACCAGAAGTGAACAGTAAACTAACACAGAACTAATGTCCTCTGCAGTAAGTCATCAGAAGTGAACAGTAAACTAACACATAACTAATGTCCTCTGCAGTAAGTCACCAGAAGTGAACAGTAAACTAACACATAACTAATGTCCTCTGCAGTAAGTCACCAGAAGTGAACAGTAAACAAACACACAACTAATGTCCTCTGCAGTAAGTCACCAGAAGTAAACAGTAAACTAATACAGAACTAATGTCCTCAGCAGAACAAGCTAATGGATGTGCTGAGAAGGGGATTTGACCACTTGTGGACTGAATTGTTTGATGTGAAATTTTGATGATCTGTCGACTAAAAGAAATGTGAATCTACTGTGTTCCCCTAAAATAAGACCAGGTCTTATATTAATTTTGCTTTACAAAATGCTTTATGGTTTATTTTCAGGGAATATCTTATTTTTATCTCCGATTTTTTGTTGTTGTTTTCTTTTGTTTTTAAGCTACATTTATTCATTTACAGAATTCTACATTTGTTCAAATACAGTCATGTCATCTTCTTCTAGAACATTATCATACCTCTCCATATCCTGAATGCCAGCCTAACTTTCTTGCAGCTGTCTTTCCTTTAGAATCGTTAGCCCATCTATCATGTTCAAATATAAAGCTTTCTTTAAACCATCTTAATTAGGACGTCACTTTGAGGAAACATAGTACTTGAGTTGGTTAATAATTTTAGAAAAGAAAGATTTACTGAATGAAGCATTTGCTTTGTTATAATTCATTCTTTGTTTCTTCCCTTAAGCTTGGTTCTCCTGAAGCTGCCATGTTCAAAGTTGGATTTTTCAAAATGCATCCTCAAATTCCAGAGTCAATGTCAGAGAAGGCAAAAGAGTTCCTTCTTAGGTGAAATTAATTTAGATTTCTTGTAATTAGTAGTCTTAGAGGTATGGTGTGCGGAGGAAAGGGGGTTATGTCATTCGCGTTTTATGTGATGCTCTCACTGCTGAGAGAAACTGAGCCGTATGGGATAAAACTCAGTGCCATAAAGTCTGGTCTCTTGACTTTAACCTTTCTTAACTTTAGTCTTGGAGGTCATGTTAAGTAACATATACAATTGAACAAAAACAAAAACAATTCAGGACCCTTGTCCCCACCTTCAGGCATATTGGGCATATAGGGCTAGACCTATATTTTATAGATGTGGTCAGCATCACGCCAGCCGCCTTTACTTTCCAAATAACATACAACTTTTTTTTTTAAATTTAAGAATGTTTCTCCACACGCCTTGTTCTGAGCCAACATTGTCTTTTTTGGGGCTCCTCACTCAACTCTTTCAGTTGATATTTTAATGAAGTTAATCTTGATTAAGGAAACCCAAGATCACAAAACTAAAATGTTCACCTGCACAACCTATGGTGACTGCTCCACAATCCTTGGGCTCAGAGATTCCCCTGCCTACACTGTCAAGTGGTAAATACAGGCAGTAGTTTTGCTTATATTCTTCTTATATTATATTTCTCCAGATATGCCGGTGTTTTGGGAAATGAGCATGCAGATAGACTGGCTGGCTCTGCACCTTTTGGTGGTGAATTGATATATGACAAATTCGATATTGTGAGGACCCTTTCGGAGCGAGTAAACAGTGAGGAGGCGCAGATAGATCATTACGGTCTAAGGAGAATGGCGCTGAGAGGAGTTTCCAGGGGATCTGACCGATGCTCAACACAAGGGAAGAATGAGACAGATATACAATCAGACGGTTACTGGTACCACTGGAATAGGAATTCTTTGCTTGATGCTGAAGATGGGGGACTGAGCACTTATGGGAGTGTCCCGAGTGCTGTGATTTCGATTCTTATTTCAACATTCAACATTATATTCTTCCTTGTATATCTCTTTAATTTTCCACATGCATGTTCTGCTTGTTTTTGTTTTTTCCAAAATATTCTGCAGCATGAAGCTAATTTATCTTTTCTGTCTCTCATGTGAGTGTCCCTCTATAATACCATTTATTTTTGTATTTTCTTTTGGTTTTAAAGACTGGTCTAGCAACATCAGCAGCAGCTGTTTGCTTATGTCCTTTGAAAGACTAGTTGTAACAAAATAGTGTTTACCAAGTGTTGAGTCCCACTTCATTATACAGTTACACCAAGATTCCAAGAGGATGTAAATGTAACGTTAACTAACAGATCTTCTTCTTCTTCTTTCGTTTGCTTGAAACAGATTATCTATGTCTGCAGTGTTGTCTCTTGTATGAACTTCACTGTCTGTTGTAATTCACTCAGCGACCCATAAAGTTTGACTTGCACCGTTGTTTCTCTTGGCTAAAAGTTTTGCCTTGATATGTTGTATTCGGGACAGTCTTGGAGTACATGATCCATTGTCTCAGGGGCCAATCACATGTGCACATGGCTGATTTACCAGTTAAAAATTGTGTGTACATGTGGCCGTGAAGTTGATTATGTCCTGTTCTAAGGAGTAGAATAATAACTTGCAACCACCAGATCTCACTTATAACCAATACTTACCAAGGGGCAGGTTCAGTGTGACCAAAATGTGTTACTTTACCCCCACATCAAATGAATGAACATGAGGATAGGTTTAATGTGTTTACTATTGTGTGTTCACTTTTATGTGTGTGGGTGTGCATGCTTGCATTTATTTTTCTTCATGCATGCTTGCTTGTTGTCTCCACAATAGAAGTTAACAGCAGTAAATATATTGCTGTCTTTGGGCATATAACATGGTGAGACCTCACTCGCTTCCATGGGAAACCTCATTAACTTCAGTGGTCTATCTCTGCTACTTCTGCATCAATGCCGTGATAATGGTCATTTTTCTTAAACCGCTCTCATGGAAATTGTACCCATGTAAATTTAGGATTCATAATCAAGTGAATGAATTCAGTGACTTCTAAGCCACAGATAACTTTTTATAGCACTTTCACAAGAATTTGCCTGACTCTTTCTTGTTGTTTTATTTCTAGATGTTTTGAGCCAGAATCCCAAAACAGGGCTACGGCTACAGAATTATTGCAGCATCCATTTCTGTTTGAGTAAGTATCCCAAATGTTCAGTTTGCATTTTTTATATTAAGTTAACTGTCAGTGTAAAAAATAATCTAGCTTTTTTCAAAATGTACCTTTTAGTTCCTTATCTTGAAGTTGAAATTTTAAAAATGTGTATGCAGATAACTGCTGTGCTTTCCTTTGTTAACTATAAAGTTGATAATTGCCGTGACTTCAGCAGGTAAAAAATAAAGGATCCATGTCTTGACTTCAGTAGGTAAAAAGTAAAGGATCCATGCATTGAGTTCAGCAGGTAAAAAGTAAAGGATCCATGTCTTGACTTCAGTAGGTAAAAAGTAAAGGATCCATGCCTTGAGTTCAGCAGGTAAAAAGTAAAGGATCCATGTCTTGACTTCAGTAGGTAAAAAGTAAAGGATCCATGTCTTGACTTCAGCAGGTAAAAAGTAAAGGATCCATAGATTGAGTTCAGCAGGTAAAAAATAAAGGATCCATGTCTTGACTTCAGTAGGTAAAAAGTAAAGGATCCATGCCTTGACTTCAGTAGGTAAAAAGTAAAGGATCCATGCCTTGACTTCAGTAGGTAAAGAGTAAAGGATCCATGTCTTGACTTCAGTAGGTAAAAAGTAAAGGATCCATGCCTTGAGTTCAGCAGGTAAAAAGTAAAGGATCCATGCCTTTACTTCAGTAGATAAATAGTAAAGGATCCATGCCTTGACTTCAGTAGGTAAAAAGTAAAGGATCCATGTCTTGACTTCAATAGGTAAAAAGTAAAGGATCCATGCCTTGACTTCAGTAGGTAAAAAGTAAAGGATCCATGCATTGATTTCAGTACGTAAAAAGTAAAGGATCCATGCATTGACTTCAGTAGGTAAAAAGTAAAGGATCCATACCTTGACTTCAGTAGGTAAAAAGTAAAGGATCCATGCCTTGACTTCAGTAGGTAAAAAGTAAAGGATCCATGCCTTGACTTCAGTAGGTAAAAAGTAAAGGATCCATGTCTTGACTTCAGTAGGTAAAAAGTAAAGGATCCATGCATTGACTTCAGTAGGTAAAAAGTAAAGGATCCATGCCTTGACTTCAGTAGGTAAAAAGTAAAGGATCCATGCCTTGACTTCAGTAGGTAAAAAGTAAAGGATCCATGCCTTGATTTCAGTAGGTAAAAAGTAAAGGATCCATGTCTTGACTTCAGTAGGTAAAAAGTAAAGGATCCATGCATTGTCTTCAGTAGGTAAAAGTGATATGATCAGTATCATGCAACTGCCTTTACTTCTGACAATATTCCCTGATACCCATCGTAGACTAGGTTAGTCTATTTTTAAAAACCCCTATCTTGATAGGGTTTTGAGCCCATGATCATCAGACGGCAGGTGAACATGCTAGCTACTATGTTATTGTTTCTTCCTGAGTTAGATACCTAGATAGACAGGCAGGTAACTGAATAGGTCAACTTACCAATTAATGTAACAGGGAGATGTCATTACTTGTTTGTGGGAAGTAGGTTATTACGCACAGCTATGATGTACTGAAAATCAACAAGTTTTGGCAGCCTTGACATTCCCTTTTCTAGAATCTTCTTTTCCCGCCAAAACTAGCTGTTGACATCAAACTGATGTTGTCTGGCCTTGGCCTTCTTTCTAGAAGTTTTGAAATGCATTTTTTTTCATCATGTGACCCAACCTTGTCTAACTAGTAAATACCTTGTTGTCGTGCCATATCAAAGCAAACGCAATTGTACTTGTTTTCTAGAAGGACAGCTGTCAATTTAACTACTATAGTTGCGCAGAAAAAGATGATGAAATCTGATGCAATCGAGATATTTTTAGAAAATCCCACGTGAGAACCTACCTAGTAAACAAGTTTGGACGTACTAGAATATTCCAGAAGCAGAAAAAGTGAGAAGAAAACAAATAACTAGCATTCCAGCATCTGAGTTTAAATACTGGGTAAGAATCCACTCAGGAGAATTCTTCAGTCCACAAGACTCAAGAGAGGAGAGACCAGTCACATTGACTCTCACAGCAGTCTTCAGTTGTAGAGATGTCAGCTCGACTCAAAGAACGCCTTCAGTCGTTGAGACTCAGAGGACGAGCAACTTGTCTCAATGATCCTCGCAGTTTTGGAGATGCCAACTAAACCTTAGAGGGAGAGGAGCCAGTTATATTTAGCCTCGAAGACAGAGCAGACATAAAACAAGACATCGAGCTACAGAGACAACACACAAGATACATGGATCCATGGTTAACAGCGACACATTAGGTAGGAACTATTGAGATGTTAGAGTCAACGATGAAGCCATTAGTACCAGACAGCACTACAAGCCAGGTGGCAGTTGAGGACACTAGAACCAGTTAACAAAGTAACTAGAGATGAAGAACACAACGCGAACCTACGAACATTTAGCCATAGAGAGAACACAGCGCTATTCAAAATATCATTGATGTATTTGTGACGTTGATAAAATATCACAATAAAGACAGTATAGACGAGAACTGTTGTTTCCAGCCATTTTATTAAACAAGCATCAGAGCCACGTGAGAAGCATGCAGCAAGACATCATCATCATCATCGTCACTATCGACACGACTATCTTTCTCCTCGTCTATAATCTTCCAGTCGACTCCTCCTGTAGCAAACCTAAAGACGAACCTGGGTGTGACATCAACGTATGCCACAAAGAAGAGAATTGTGCTACATTAATATATGGAAGGAAGTAGGTACAGATAAACAAACACAATAAAATAGACAGAGGAGCAGATGAGCAGACATACAGACAGATCAGTAGACAGCCAAGTAAACAGAAATTGAGATTTTAAAATAAAATAACGGACTGTTTTAAAACACTTGTGACACATTCAGCATATGATGCTAGACACATGTTTGTTTATAAACCAATGGGTACTCGATGAATGATATGGTCAACATCACACCCGAGTTAGATGTTATCAGGTCTTTACTATATTGATCTTGTCCTCTAATCTTGACACTCTTGTAACTTTCAGTGTTGAGATGAAGTCTAGAGCATGGAAGAGTGCTTCTTTGTGTGCTTCATGTGTGGAGATTCCCAAAGATTCTGTTGTTCCCTCTGTTCACTGTTTACATGACCCGCCTTTCTTTTGGTTCCCACTTTGTTTGTCATTCACTGCTCATTTATTGTATAGATCTTATACCTTTTCTTCTTCAGTATTGTAAGCCCTTGAGGTTCACTGCTGCAGATATCACCTATCTCTAGTTATCTCTGTGACTGGCCTTTTCTTTCTGCATGGTGACTGCCAAGTTTTTTTTTTTCAGGTCTGCCTGCGTATTATCTGTCCACTGTCTTCTTGGTCTGCTCCCTTTGAAATTTTTTTAACACAGTTTTTGTCTCTCTATTATTTGCCATTCTATCTATTATATTAATTTTATTATGTTGATAACCTGTATGTTTGCAGAAACCTGGGAACAAGAAGGAAGAGAGCTAGAAAAACTAAGGATGAACACCATGATTTTCTGAGAAGTGTCTCAGGTCAGTTTATTGACATATTCTAGATTCAAACCTGGCTGCCTGTGACCACATATATCAGCTGTTGTGATGTGAATAGTATCTCAGGTCAGTTTATTGACATATTCTATATTCAGACCTAGCTGCCTGTGACCACATATGTCAGCTTTTGTGATGTGAGAAGTATCTCAGGTCAGTTTCTTGACATATTCTATATTCAGACCTAGCTGCCTGTGATCACATATATAGGCTGTTGTGAAGTGAGAAGTATCTCAGGTCAGTTTATTGACATATTCTAGATTCAAACCTGGCTGCCTGTGACCACATATATAAGCTCTTGTGAAGTGAGAAGTATCTCGGGTCAGTTTATTGACATATTCTAGATTCAAACCTGGCTGCCTGTGATCACATACATCAGTTGTGATGTCAGAAGTGTCTCAGGTCAGTTTCATGATATATTCTAGATTCAAACCTGGCTGCCTGTGACCACATACATCAGTTGTGATGTCAGAAGTGTCTCAGGTCAGTTTCATGATATATTCTAGATTGAAACCTGGCTGCCTGTGACCACATACATCAGTTGTGATGTCAGAAGTGTCTCAGGTCAGTTTCATGATATATTCTAGATTCAAACCTGGCTGCCTGTGACCACATACATCAGTTGTGATGTCAGAAGTGTCTCAGGTCAGTTTCATGATATATTCTAGATTCAAACCTGGCTGCCTGTGACCACATACATCAGTTGTGATGTCAGAAGTGTCTCAGGTCAGTTTCATGACATATTCTAGATTGAAACCTGGCTGCCTGTGACCACATATATCAGTTGTGATGTCAGAAGTGTCTCAGGTCAGTTTCATGATATATTCTAGATTCAAACCTGGCTGCCTGTGACCACATATATCAGCTGTGATGTCAGAAGTGTCTCAGGTCAGTTTCATGATATATTCTAGATTGAAACCTGGCTGCCTGTGACCACATACATCAGTTGTGATGTCAGAAGTGTCTCAGGTCAGTTTCATGATATATTCTAGATTGAAACCTGGCTGCCTGTGACCACATACATCAGTTGTGATGTCAGAAGTGTCTCGGGTCAGTTTCATGATATATTCTAGATTGAAACCTGGCTGCCTGTGACCACATACATCAGTTGTGATGTCAGAAGTGTCTCAGGTCAGTTTCATGACATATTCTAGATTGAAACCTGGCTGCCTGTGACCACATATATCAGTTGTGATGTCAGAAGTGTCTCAGGTCAGTTTCATGATATATTCTAGATTCAAACCTGGCTGCCTGTGACCACATATATCAGCTGTGATGTCAGAAGTGTCTCAGGTCAGTTTCATGATATATTCTAGATTGAAACCTGGCTGCCTGTGACCACATACATTAGTTGTGATGTCAGAAGTGTCTCAGGTCAGTTTCATGATATATTCTAGATTCAAACCTGGCTGCCTGTGACCACATACATCAGTTGTGATGTCAGAAGTGTCTCAGGTCAGTTTCATGATATATTCTAGATTGAAACCTGGCTGCCTGTGACCACATACATCAGTTGTGATGTCAGAAGTGTCTCAGGTCAGTTTCATGACATATTCTAGATTGAAACCTGGCTGCCTGTGACCACATATATCAGTTGTGATGTCAGAAGTGTCTCAGGTCAGTTTCATGATATATTCTAGATTCAAACCTGGCTGCCTGTGACCACATATATCAGTTGTGATGTCAGAAGTGTCTCAGGTCAGTTTCATGATATATTCTAGATTCAAACCTGGCTGCCTGTGACCACATACATCAGTTGTGATGTCAGAAGTGTCTCAGGTCAGTTTCATGATATATTCTAGATTCAAAACTGGCTGCCTGTGACCACATATATCAGTTGTGATGTCAGAAGTGTCTCAGGTCAGTTTCATGATATATTCTAGATTCAAACCTGGCTGCCTGTGACCACATATATCAGTTGTGATGTCAGAAGTGTCTCAGGTCAGTTTCATGATATATTCTAGATTCAAACCTGGCTGCCTGTGACCACATACATCAGTTGTGATGTCAGAAGTGTCTCAGGTCAGTTTCATGATATATTCTAGATTCACTGTACAATTAATAAACAAGCCAATGTCTGGAGGTTTCAGAGATGTGGTTTTACAAAAGAATCCTTACAACTCCTTGGACAGCTAAAAAGAGCAACCCAGATGTTTTGAAGGAAGTGAGGGCTGAAAGATAGCTTATCATAAATATCAGAAAGAGACAGTCATTGTCTCTTTGCGTCATGTTATGAGAAGAAGGAAACTAGAACATGTTATGACTACTAAAAAGATCTGTGGAAAAAGTGAAAAAGACAGACAACATGAGATGATTCCTGACAGCCTTTTGTCAAGGCATGGAGAGGTGTCAACACAGGACCGGGTGCATGCTTTTGAAGATCACAGATTTTAGAGCTCTAAGATAGCCCATGCTAGACACTTGATGATGATGATAAGGACAGAGGGATCTTGAGCCCAAGGATTTGAGGCCACATGGCTAGTGCAGTCACCATAGACTGTGCAGGTTAGGACTTCTTGTGTGTGCTCCCAACAGAAAACTATCCACCACCTTACAGAGAATTCAAACCCAGTTCTCCCGAGTCTTTTACATGCTCACAGGCTGTTATCTCCAGTGGAAACTTCTGTTATACAGATTTGGATGATTTGTATGCAGACTGTTGGTTCCTTGCCTCTGAGACAGATGCACTCTGACTTTAACGACAACCCATAATTAGTCAACTCTTATGACATGCTTGATAAGGAGGCAGTGGGTCTACTCTTTGTGCCTGACAGTGGGGCCCCAGAACCCACTCGGGGTGGTCCCCTGAATGAGAGCTGACATCATTCTTAACCACTCGGCCAGCCACTGTTCTGCTAATTCATAAATGTTCACTAATTTATACTTCAGAACCCATGGGGAAAAACAGAGGCAACGATGAGCTGAAGCTGAGAATTCCCAGAATTGCCAAGTAAGATGTTTTATTGTTGTGCTCTCTTATTGTTGCGTTCTCTTATTGTTGCGTTCTCTTATTGTTGTATTCTCTTATTGTGGCATTCTCTTATTGTGGTGTTCTCTTATTGTTGCATTCTCTTATTGTTGTGTTCTCTTATTGTTGCATTCTCTTATTGTGGTGTTCTCTTATTGTTGTGTTCTCTTATTGTTGTGTTCTCTTATTGTTGCGTTCTCTTATTGTTGCGTTCTCTTATTGTTGTATTCTCTTATTGTGGCATTCTCTTATTGTGGTGTTCTCTTATTGTTGCATTCTCTTATTGTTGTGTTCTCTTATTGTTGTATTCTCTTATTGTGGTGTTCTCTTATTGTTGCGTTCTCTTATTGTTGTGTTCTCTTATTGTTGCATTCTTTTATTGTTGCATTCTCTTATTGTTGTTTTCTCTTATTGTTGCGTTCTCTTATTGTTGCGTTCTCTATTGTTGCGTTCTCTTATTGTTGCATTATCTTATTGTTGCATTCTCTATTGTTGCATTCTCTTATTGTTGCGTTCTCTTATTGTTGCATTCTTGTATTGTTGCATTCTCTATTGTTTTGTTCTCTTATTGTTGCGTTCTCTTATTGTTTTGTTCTCTTATTGTTGCGTTCTCTTATTGTTGCGTTCTCTTATTGTTGTGTTCTCTTATTGTAGCGTTCTCTTATTGTTGCATTCTCTTATTGTTGTGTTCTCTTAGAGACATTAATTACCAGATTTAACTTCTAAAGAAGGCTGCAAACACGTTTAGCATGTCAGAGTAATGGCGCACCATTCCTGATGGAGTATAACAAGATATTGTAATATGCGTCTCTTTTTTTCCCTTCCTCCAGATGTTGTACTCCTTAGCAGTTGAGTGCTGTCACGTACATGAATTAATGTGCCTCATTTAATATACATTACACGTTTTAGTGGTTTAGATTCAACAATAGTGGAGGGTACTGTTTCGGGAAGAAGAAGCAAAGGTCGATTGACTTGAAAGTGGATGTGGGACACTGAGGAGACCCTAGGGGCATGAAAGTTCACGAGGCAGGACAGTTGGTAGAGTTGTCCTTTGTGCCCTGATGAGACTGACCTTCTGCAAAGGCCCTGTTACATGATTCTTTCTTCCTTCTGTTGTCCAACTGCTCAAGCTGTGAAGCATTCTATCTCTGTCTATCTTCTTTTACCCCACCAGGACATCACACGAGCGATAAACACCCGATGACTCAAAGTGCCTCCATGTGGATGAGGATCAACCGTGGAGAGGTCCCAGAAACCGTGTTCAGCCATTAGACCATATTTATGGAAGGGCTATATTGCAGCCCCTTGCAAGAGCCAGAGTAGGGCTTCAAATAACGAAAAATTGCATCCCCCAAGGGGATGACTATATCAAGACCGGCTTTAGTTGACAGGCCGTGCTGCTGACGTCAGCAGGTTGGGCTAACGATGCGTTAACACGGTGGTTCTAAAACAATAAATAAACTATTTTTGACCGTGGCTAGGAAGGACAACTGAGATTTTTAACTTTCAAGTATCTACATTCCTTCTTTAATAATTTCACTATTTTTAGCCGACTTTTCTTGATTATTTCCATTGCTCCCCTAGCATACGCTAAGGGCACCCCAGTGTGCTTCGGCACCCAGTTTGAGAACTGCTGCTTTAACGCATCGTTAGCCCGACCCGGTGACGTTAACAGCACGGCCCGTCAGCTGGAGCAGGTCGTGACTAGATATAGTGAATAAAGTGAAGCATTGCAGTGAGGAGTTAGATATAGTTTCCTGTCCGTTCCTAGCTGTGTTGTATGTGTTAATGTTTATACTGTGTTTCTGTAAGGTCTCTTTTATTCCCTTCGCCCATTACTTTCTTGTTGGGCCTCTTGACTGTTTTGATACAGTACACTCACTGACTGCTGGCTGATTTTGTTGCATTCTGACCAGATGACTAGACCATTTGATTTTTTTCTTGATGTTCTGTGAAATCATTCACTGTAGCGTGCCTAACATTTCATTAGTTCTTCATTGATGACTCTGTCTCTTCTTGTTTTCCTGCTGCATTTCTTACATTCTTTTGGTGATGAAATATGTGTGTTTCTGAAAGATGACGTAACTTGGTTATATGTCTTTTTATTGAGTTCATGTGTCTGTATGTTTCTGTTTATTTGCTTTCTTTGTACACATATGCATCGGCAGCATTCATGCTTTATTTTGCTTGTTTTTTTTTTTATATATTTGCTTACTGTGGCCAAGGCAGCTGAAAGTTACTATTATGTGCATATTAATGACAAATAATTGACTGTATAAAACAGTACATTTTCTCAGAAAGGAATGAGCAAATTGAACAGAAGAGAGATAAAAATAACACATTTTCAGACATGAGGTGGGGGGAGTTTTGAATAAAATGAAAAGTGTTTTCTGATCTTTTTCCCCCCAAAGATCTCTCCAGTGCTGATTTGAACCCAAGACCTTTGGGTTTAGAAGATAAGTGTCTAGCCTCTTCACTAGCAGCTTCCAAAAGATAGTTTAAACCTGTCACCCCAAGAAGCAGAAAACCTGGAATTTCTGTTTGAATCATTTCTGTAAATGCTGTTTGTCTGATTTTTCCTTTTTTGGTCTGTACCCAAGAAGCCTAGTGGTTAACAGCATTGGGCTCTAGAGTTTGCACTTGCGCAGTGTTTTAGAGGTCCAGATATGAATATATTTACTGAAAATGGTATGTTGGCATTTCTTGTAAACATATTGGCTTTTTTAAAGCCATTTGGCATAAAAATGTGCCGATAACCTTAGTGCTAGAACTCTGACGAGGTCGGGAGTCATGGTGTGAGTCACCTAATACACTTTTCTTCTTCTTCTTCTGCCTTTCTATTTCCCAATGGAGCATAGGCCCTCAACCAACTCACGCCCAGTCCTTCTATCCTTAGCCATTACATGGAGCTCTCCCCATCTTTCTAACTTCATTTTCCAGCTAATACACTTTTAGGTGCAGAAAATATATTCTGTTTAATGTTTCACTTAGTTCTTGTTTATTGATTACTCCCTTCAGGCATTTTGATGGGGACAATTTTTCATGGAGATAAATAACAGTTGTTTTTAATGAATTAAAGATCTGTGTCAAATATTTGTCAATTTAGAAGAAAATTTTTTTTTAATTTTGGGGGGTAATTTCCTCGGGTTTCTGCCTTTTAAAAGTGTTTTGGGGATGAAAAGAGTAAGACATGGAGAAATATTAATAGAACTCATTCAGAACCTAACGGACTAAGATTTGTTGAAATCACGGGGACGTCTGTCTACACAGTTGACAAGGCATATGGTGATGACTGAATAAAGTGTGAAAAAGAAGACCGCTTTTTTTTTGGTTTTCTTCTTCTTCTTAGCGTTCATCAGCTATAAACTCTGGCAGAAAGTTCAGGTTGTTCATCCACTTCCGAACATTTATCTTGCTCCAAAATTTGAGTTTTGCGTGCACATCCATTTTACAGATCTGACTTTTTATATGTGCAGACTGTTGGTTCCTTGCTTCTCAAGCAGATGCACTCCAACTTTGAAGGAAACACTCCTAATTAGTTGCATTTTACAACCTGTTTTGTGGGGAGGGATTTCTATTTTTTTTTTAAATACTAGGGCCCTCGAACACACACCGGGACTTTTGAGTGGTCATTTTAGGAAATATAGAGGTTTGCTACTTATACAGGAATGGGAAAAAATATGTCTCAGAAACAATACATAGCACAGCTTGCAAGGACATTAGCACTCACATTTAGGCAGAGCTGACAACAAGGACTCCTGGAGTGACATGATCCAATTATTGTAACCCCAGTCTTCAAACTTACTTCCCTGATGATCATTTAAGAATAATTGAACATTTACGTATGCTTTGTTTCCTGCATTTTCATTGTTGGCTTTTGCTGCTGCTTCCACCTAAACCACCAGACTGCGATCGGAAGTTGTTGGCAGTCATGAGAACCTTGCTGATGATCTTGACACCATTGACGAGGGGCGGTAAGTTAAACACCCTTTGCATGTGCATCAAGGCGTAGATCAGAATATTTTCTATATAAACGCACACTGACATTTTTTTAGATTTAGGAAAATTTGGAATGTGCACCGACTTACTGTTACTCTTTTGAGGTGTTGTGGAGTGTATTGTGTGCATATTTTTAAAGACTTTGCATTATTAGAAGAATACAGATGTGAATATTTTGAAAGATTTGGTTTGTTAGGAAATACATAGAATTGCATAATTTTAAAAGATTGTTTGCATTGTGGAATGCTGATCCATATGCTTGTTACATAGATTAGATATGGCAGATTTGGTGTACGTGTAATGTATGCAAGTTTGCATATTGTGACGGATGGGGTATATTGTGCAAAGTACGCAAGTGTGCATATTGTGACAGATTTGGTATATTGTGTAACATAAGCAAGTGTGCATATTGTGACAGATTTGGTATATTGTGTAACATAAGCAAGTGTGCATATTGCGACAGATTTGGTATATTATGCAATGTACGCAAGTGTGCATATTGTGACAGATTTGGTATATTGTGCAATGTACGCAAGTGTGCATATTGTGACAGATTTTGAATATTGTGCAATGTACGCAAGTGTGCATATTGTGACAGATTTGGTATATTGTGTAACATAAGCAAGTGTGCATATATTGTGACAAATTTGGTATATTGTGCAATGTACCCAAGTGTGCATATTGTGACAGATTTGGTATATTGTGTGACATAAGCAAGTGTGCATATATTGTGACAGATTTGGTATATTGTGCAGTGTACACAAGTGTGCATATATTGTGACAGATTTGGTATATTGTACAGTGTGCAAAGTGTGACAGATTTTATATATTGTGCAATGTATACAAGTGCACAAATTATGATAGAATGAGTGCATCGTGTAATGCATGTAAAAGTATTTGTTGTTTAAGATTTAGTGCATAGTAGAATGGACACATGTGCATATTTTGGTCACTTATTCCATTATGGAATGCATACCAGTGCTTACATATAAATATATTATACGTTCTTGCATTGTGGCATTTACATTCATATTTTTCTTTTGAAATATTTGGAGCATTGTGGAATGCAGAAACTTATTTAATTTTTTTTTTTTAAATAAATTTCTTCCCGCAGTTGATCCTTTATTTTAAAATACCTATTTTTTTATCTTGCAGCAAGCAGTTCATTATTCCAATGACAATGTGAGCATGTCCATTTTGCATATGTCTAACTGTGGAAATTGGTTGACACTATTTGTGGGATTTCTTCATTATTTTTAATTGTGGAAGTTTACTGGTTCATAGTTTTTGTGAGATTTCTTCACCGTTTTTAATTGTGGTTTTCACCTGTTACTTTTAACCTCATTTTCATTGTTTGAGGATGTGGTCTTTTACCTTTGTATTAACTTTAGTTTCATTATTTGAGGGTGACTGGTTTATTTGGAAATGGATAACAAATTAAAGCAGAATAACTTAAACAGCAAATTGACAGAAACACTCAAATATTTTGACAGATCAGAGTTGTTTTTTTCCAGTGAGAAAATATCAGAAACAGAAAACCATCTGTTATTAGAAATATGTAGTTTCAGAAGTACATAAACAATAAGTACATAAACAATAAGTACATAAACAATAAGTAGATAAACAATAAGTAGATAAACAATAAGTAGATAAACAATAAGTACATAAACAATAAGTACATAAACAATAAGTACATAAACAATAAGTACATAAACAATAAGTACATAAACAATAAGTACATAAACAATAAGTACATAAACAATAAGTACATAAACAATAAGTACATAAACAATAAGTACATAAACAATAAGTACATAAACAATAAGTACATAAACAATAAGTACATAAACAATAAGTAGATAAACAATAAGTACATAAACAATAAGTACATAAACAATAAGTACATAAACAATAAGTACATAAACAATAAGTACATAAACAATAAGTACATAAACAATAAGTACATAAACAATAAGTACATAAATAATAAGTACATAAACAATAAGTAGATAAACAATAAGTACATAAACAATAAGTACATAAACAATAAGTACATAAACAATAAGTACATAAACAATAAGTACATAAACAATAAGTAGATAAACAATAAGTACATAAACAATAAGTAGATAAACAATAAGTACATAAACAATAAGTACATAAACAATAAGTACATAAACAATAAGTACATAAACAATAAGTACATAAACAATAAGTACATAAACAATAAGTACATAAACAATAAGTACATAAACAATAAGTACATAAACAATATGTACATAAACAATAAGTAGATAAACAATAAGTACATAAACAATAAGTACATAAACAATAAGTACATAAACAATAAGTACATAAACAATAAGTACATAAACAATAAGTACATAAACAATAAGTACATAAACAATAAGTACATAAACAATAAGTACAGCTTAAAAGTGGGAGAGAAATACTAAAGGAAATCACACAGGAACAAAAATAATTAATGTACACTTATTTGTAACACAAAAGTGGCATCTGAACATATTGAGGCTTTTAGAGGTAAATTGGGAGTGAGCAGTCCAAAGATAATTCCACAGTATGAGAAGAGTAGGTGTCATGATTATTTAAAGGGCAGGTAATTTGAAGGACTGGGAATAGTCATTATTTAAAATCTGAAGCATGGGAATAATCATTATTTAAACAGCACTTAATTTGATGAAAGGGAATTGCTATAATTCAAATGGCAAGTAATCTGAAGGGTAGAATTAGTAATTTTTATTTTAAATGAAGGGTAAAAATAGTTATTATTTAAATGGCAGGTCTGAATGGTTTTGTTTTAGACCACAGATTAACATCATGGCACAAGGGTAGTAACCCATAAGTGCTTCGTTCTACTTCTAACTCAAGCCCGAGTCCGAAGAATTTCAGCTTAGTGCACAGGCTCTGTAGCACCAGTGAGGATCCTGAAATACTTTGGGTAGATTTTTAACTCCAAATTTTGCCATGGCAGTGCCATTAGGTTACTCTTTTCGATTTCCATCTGAATGTTGGGCATATGGATGAGTCAAGATTGTAAATAAAATATGAATAAACGTAAAGCAATAGTTCTGTTTCTTCTGTTTGGTTTGTGTCATCTTTATCTGGGCATTGATCTCTCTCATTTATGATGTTTTATGTTCCTGTTGACTAGATCTCAACGATCTTTTTCCATTATGTTGGGTCATGTTTCTACAGTAACAAGTATGTCTGATTAATTCTGTAGAATTTGTATCATTTTTCTTTTGAACTAACTATTCTCATTGTGTGTTAATATTTCTTCTTATAGTCGATGCCATGTGGCATTGGTAGTCATGTCTGTCCACAAACTTGTGTCTCATGTACTTTCAGACAGTTGTGACTCAGATGATCTTTCATGACATGATGTTAAACTGTCCAGCCTATTCTCTATCAGTCTCCCAGTGCTTTTTTTTCCCCTTCCAACTTTTCCACTGTCACGATGTACTCCAGTTTTCTCCTTCTCATGACATGACCAAAGTATATAGATTGTCTTTTCTGATGTGGGCAGTCATCTCTTTTTGTGAGTCAGTTTCTTTCAAGGCATCTTGATTGCTTTTTTATCTGTCTACGATATTATCATCATTCATCTATAAAACCATATCTCTGCTGCTTCCAAATAATTTTTCACTAATTGTCCAACTGTCCATTATTCACTTTCGCATATCAGGATAGGATTTAATTAGCTATCAAAATTCTGTGTCTCATGTTAATATGTGTCTGCAGTTTATTAGGGAGTCATGGTAGCGCAGTAGATAGACACTTGTCTGCCAGCTCAAAGGTCTCGGGTTTGAGTCTGCATTAGGTTGGATTTGTATAAATGATCTAGGCTTCCAGGGTGACTCTGTATATAATCATCATCATTGTCAGTCAGCAGGTCCTTATAAGAACGTGGGTGTCGTCACAGCACGTCTGAAAGTCACTTTTTCTCTAGCCAGTTCTCTGGGCTCTATGTGTTTTCTGCAGTGTCTTGTATCCATGTTTGTGGAGGTTTGCTTCTGCCTCATTGTCTGTAAACTGTACCCTCCATCACTGCTCTCTCCAAGCCACCATGGCCAAAATAGCTCAGCTTTCAGGACAGTATGAAATAGCTACCAGAAAATGTCCTGGGAAGTTAAGGCAGCCACGTGATGTTGTCCACATCATCCAGTGAGGGCTGTTAGGTCATCAAGAGGAAATAGTTTAATGGACTGTAGCGGCAGCAACATGGGTTTTGAGCAGAATGCCAAGAATATCCTGGAACAGATGAAGATTTCTTCCTTATGTGTCTTCCTGATAAATGTATGGTGGTCAGAGAGATTATGAGAAGAAAAGGACCTAAGAACTTAGTGACAGCTGGCAAGGTTTGTGGATAAGGGGCAAGCAAAGACTTCAAAACCATGATGGCTAGGCCACATGGATACAGCTGGATAAGAGCCCTGTCCTGATCCATGATACTGGGGATCATGTTGGATGGTGAACCATGGCCACCTATGCCTATCAGCAGGACATGTGGTGATGATAAGGACTGTAGACGATATATGGGAGTCATTGCCTTTATCTCAATCCTATCATGTGCTCTGCTTCTCTTGTATCTAAATGTCATTGCTTCTTGCAGCATGCTGTTTAGAAGGACGTCACTGAATCATCAGTCTTTCTGTGTAATCCTTCCTTCTGCTAACACCTGCTTTACCATGTTCATATTTCTGATCTGTTATCTTCTTGTTTATTGTTCACAAGCCTTTACAGTTTTTCACCAGCACTCAAGCTGCTGCCACAAACATCAATTTCTATTGTTACAATTCTTCACAAGCATTCATTTTCTCCTGTAACAGTTGCTCACAAGCATTCAGTCTCTTATGTTACAATTCTTCACAAGCATTCAGTTTCTCCTGTAACAGTTGCTCATAAGCATTCAGTCTCTCATGTTACAGTTCTTCACAAGCACTCAATCTCTGCT